GCCGCCCTGGGGGGGGGGGGGGGGGGCGGGGTGACTTCTCACTTTTCCTCTCTCTCTTTTAAGTATAGGTGCCCTATGGCTAAAGAAAACATAAAAAGAGCAAGAAAAAAAAAAAAGGAAAAGAAAATATAGCTGGTCCTATAATACAGAGCTTAGGGAGCTGGAACCCACATGGCTAACAGTGGTTCAAATCCTGGCCCCAGAGGCTTGAGAAGTCATGCTGAGCCCATGTGTGTGCACGCCCCAAACCCAGACAGGATAGAGAGATGGAGGAGAAAGGACTGCAGTGTGACCACACCCCACGGGAGGGCACTTTCTCTCTCTGGTGAGTATGTACACCATCTGGCAATTAAAATTTAAGAAAGATGGGACCAGCAGTTGGCGTAATAGCTATGTCGCTGGACTCCCATGTAGCTGACCGCAGTTCCAAGTCCCGAACCTGGAGGCTTAAACTCACACTGGGCGCGTGTGCGTGCGTGCCCAAGATCCCGAGAGGAGAACGGAGGCGAAGGGATTGCGGTGTGGCCATCCCCCCTGGGGGTGATTTCTCGCTTTCTGTCTCTCTCTCTCTCTTTCTGGTGAGCACATGCGCCCTATAGCAAAAACCTCTCAAAAAAAAAAAAAAATAAGAAAGAAAAAAAGCACTGGGCCCAGACAGTGGCACAGCAGTGACCAGCTGGACGCACGTGGGAAAGACCCTGCGTTCCTGTCCCAGGACCTCCCCGGCACCCTAGGCCTGCATGTGCCGGTGACCACGGCTGGCTGAGACCAGGAGTGGACTGCTGCACGGGAACCTGCTCGGGATGCCTCTCTCAGGGGAAGAAATAAATGAACAAACTTAAGGAACCCAGAAAGACTGTATCTATGGCATAGCAACATAGTATCATCCACCTGCTCCAGTCTCCTCTTTGACTCTCAGGGGAGAGATAAATGAACAAACTTAGGGAACCCAGAAACACTGTATCTACGGAGTAGCAACATAGTATCATCCACCCTTCTCTATGCTGCTTCAGTCTTTCTTTTAGGGCATGTGCTGGCTGTGGGCAGAGAGGTGAGACCTTGAGAAGGGAAAGCAAGAAATCACCCCCCGGGGGGATGGCCACATCGCAATCCCTTCTACTCCATTCTCCTTCCGGAATCTTGGGCGCACAGGCACAGACGGGTGCCTGCCTGGTGTGAGTTTCAAGTCACTGGGTCTGGGACTCGAACCGCTGTTGGCTATGCGGGTGTCCTGTGACATAACCATTACACCATCTGCTGGTCCCATCTTCCGTCTTAATACCAGTCTTGGTATTCAGTTTTCTCTTCTGAAGGATGGGAATGATGGGGCCAGCAGGTGGCATAGTAGTTATAGTGCTGGACTCCTGCAAGGTTGACCATAGTTCGAGTCCCAGACCTGGCAGCTTGAAACTCATGCCGGGCTCATGTATGTGTGTGTGCCCAAGATCCTGAGAGCAGAATGAAGAAGGGACGGTGACGTGGCCACTGCCCCAGGGGGTAGTTTCTCACTTTCTCTTTCTCTGTCTCTCTCTGTATCTCCAGTGAGCACACACCCTATAGCAAAAACAAACAAACAAAACTCTTAAAAAAAAATGGGAATGATAACAGAATGAACATTTACGCGTGAATATGTGAATATGCGTGGTATCGAACCTTGCCTGGCCCGTGGGGACATGGAACAGTATGAATAACAACCATTACTGATTCTCACAGCCACTCTCTGCGTGGGGTCGTCTTCTTTTTTTTTGTTTGTTTTTGGGTAAAGAATTATTTATTTAATGTTATGTATTCACTCACTTATTTTTTAATTTGACCAGAGAGAAACACACACAAACACGGGAGGGGGGAGGGGAGAGTGAGAAAGCAAGTCACCAGGCCCGGGACTCGAACCATGGTTGACCATGTGGGAGTGTCCAGTGTCTTAACCACCATGCCACCTGCTGGGCCCATGTGCGTGGGATCTTCTGCTCAGCGACCCCAGCATTCCCTCTCTCACAACAGAGATAGGGAGACAGAGACAGAGGGAAAATGAAAAAGCACCCCGTGGGGCATAAGTGACCCTGAAGCCCCTTCTCCTTTTCCCCCTCCTTGTGCGATTTTGGACACACACGTGTGCTCGATGTGTTCCTCAAGCTGCCGGCTCCAGGACTCGAACCGCGCAGTCGGCCATGTGGGGTCCAGACACCTTAACTACCCCGCCATGGGGTGGCTCAGGCAGCTGGGATCTTTCCAGCTGGCTTTCACTCTACACAGTCAGTTCAGGTCTATGTGGGTCTCATACCCAGCGAAGTAAGAATACTGGATCTTAGTGAGCCCCGGCCACTAAGATCCCCCTCCCCGGGGGCCCCCAACTCACTGGAGATCTTTAGTGTTGATGAGAAACAAGACCAGGAAGTTGCTACTGTTTTTCTGGAGAGGGCAGTCCTGGGAATCCCGGGCCTGGGGGTGGGCAAGAAGGAGCCTTGGTTACCCAGCCCATGGGCCCAATGCGCCGTCTCTCTCCCCACCCACCCAGCCTCCCTGCCCCAGCCTCTGGGAAGCACAGGGGCCTTCGGGTTCCAGATACAGAAGACGGACAGTCCCCGGGCCCCACCCAGCCCCTCCTCACTCCCTCTCCAACCCCTCCACTCACGGAGTAGGAGCGAATGGTGCCAGATCGAACCCGGCTCAGACTGAAGCCCACCTGGTGGGTGGAAAGGAAAGGGGAGGACTGAGGGACCGTAGCAGGGACTTCGAGGCATCCCTTCCAGTAGCCGTAGAAACGGACTTCGTGTTTCCTGAACCTTCTCTCTGAATTTTCCAATAACTGATTTCAGATGCCGCATCTTCTTTCATTACGTATTTCTTTTCTTTTTCTTTTTGAGAGTTTTGTTATTCAGCACGCGCACACTCACCGGAGAAACAGATCGCGAGAAATCACCCCACGGCGGGGAAGGGGGGATGGCCACGCCACAATCCCTTCTCCTCGCTTCTCCTCTTGGTATTTCGGGCATGCAGTCACACCTGCCTGGTGTGAGTTTCAAGCCGCCGTGTTTGGGACTCAAACCACGTTCGGCCACATGGGAGTCTGGCACCTTAGCCACTATGCCACCTGCTGGCCCTTCTTCAACCACCCCATGGGACTCAGCCTGGTCTTCCTCAGGGAGACCTTTGGTGACGGTCCACCCTGTTTTTCTCCATTTAATGTGGACAGCTTCGTGTCATCATCAGTTTTCTCCTCTGAAGAATGGGGCAGTGATGTGACTTAAAGTTCATGTCCGGCCATGAGATGCTTCTGATTGGCATGGCTGTTGCTAATCTTCACAACCACCTGGGCATCTGGCCTTCTGCTTAGAGACCCCCCATTTCCTGTCCTAAAGTCCAGCAAACCCCAGATTTGAACTCAGGCTCTGCCATTTCCAGGTTGTATGGACTGCGAGCAAGGCACCTGTCTCGAAGCCTGTGACCGTATCCCTAAAACTGGGGTCAGCGAATGTCACTGCATGCCTGAGAGGTGACCGGGAGGGAGCCATGGGAATACTTCGTATGGCACCTGGTACCTAGTACACGCTTAGTAACTGCTAATTGGTGCCAGCCCCATGGCCTGGTGGTTAAGGGAACCAGATGGCACATGGTCGACCACAGTTTGAATCCTGACCCCAGCAGTTTGAAGAATACACTGGGGGCACCAGCAGGTGGTGCAATGGTTAGAGTGTTGGACTCTGGTTGGAGTCTCAAATGCTGTGGCTTGAAACTCATGCTGGGGGGCCAGCAGGTGGCATGGCGGTTAAGCGCGCTGGACTTCCACATGACCAACTGCGGTTCGAGTCCTGGACCTGGCGGCTTGCTTTCTCACTTTTCTTTTCTCTCTTTCTCACTGTCTCTCTCTGGTCCAATTAAAATAAATAAATAAATAAATGAAGTTAAATCAAAAAAAGAAACTCACGCTGGGTGTGTGTGCATGTATGCCCAAAATCCCAAGAGGAGAAGGGATTGCAGCATGCCCACCCCTCCTGGGGGGTGATTCCTCGTTTTCTGTCTCTCTGGTGAGCTCCTGTGCCTTGTAGCAAAAATCTCTTTCAAAATAAAAAAAAAAGAAAGAAAGAAAGAAAGAAAAACATGCTGGGCCATATGTGGGTAGAGAAATAGAGAAGGGATTGCAGCTTTGCCCCCCCAAGTGCACACATCCGTTAGCAATTAACAATGAAAAGAGAATAAATGCTAGTTTTTCGCTCCGACTCCAAGCACTGGGGTGGTCTTAGTCACAGGAATGCTTTTGAATGCCTTCCAGATCCTGAGCGACAACAGCGGCCCGCACATACTGCCTCAAATGTCATTATTCCCACCTTAGGGAGGAAGAAATGGAGACTCAGAGAGCCCATCGACCTGCCCAAGATCACACACCACACGTGGAGGGGCAGAGCTAGGACGTGAATCCAGAACTGGGGATCCCCGATGCCTGGGCACCCCACCCTCCTCCAGCAAACTCCTCAGCCCCCTCACCAGCGGGGTCTTCTCTTCTGTCTCCTGGAGGCCCAGCCGCAGAAGGCTCAAGTTCACCTCCAGGGAGCCATTGGTGTAGAAACCGAAGCTGTTGAGCTGAATGTCTGCTCGCTTCTCCCCCTGCCGGAGACCGAGAGGGTATAGACGCTCAATCTTCTTCCCACCAGCCCGGCCCCAAGGATCGGCGCAAGGTCCCCACCAAGGGCCTCCTGGTGGTATCCCTCTACTTTGGACCGGCCCAGAGGGTGACAAGAGACGCTGGGAGGGCCTCGATCCCCGGAGACTGTGTCTCTGGATCAGTCCCAGGCAGGGACAGGGTGGCCCGGGATCTTCCAACCACAGTTCTGAGAGTCCAGGAAGGGAAATCTTGGGACACCTACAAGTCCCCGTACTGGGGTGAGAGCCATCCTGAGAACAGATAATCATCTTGGTCTGCCTGGCCTTCACCTCCGGAACATTTTTAGATTTCAACTGAGCCCCCAGCGTGCTCTGATTTCACCCCAAGATCCCATGGGATGCTCAGATGGCCCGACTCCAGAACCCCCAAGATCCCTCCTGGGCGGAGCCAAAGGTCGCTTAGCGCTCGGAAAGTGATCCCAAGCATGTAAAAGGCTAAGAGTCATAGGGTCCCAAGAGATGGGGCCCCGCCCACCATAGGCGGGGCACAACCCCAGAGTGGCCCGTCCCGCAACTCAACCGGAGGACCCAGGGGGATCGTGGGACGAGACCAACTCTCTGGGAGCGGGGGGCGCCGGGTCACTCCATCCCGCGTAAGGAGCGGGGAAGGTCGGACGAGACCACTCCAAGCCAGGGGCTCTTCCGCGACAAAGTTGCGCCCCCCGCCCCAGATCGCCACGCGGTGGACCTCACCGTCAGCGCCAGCTGGTGGATGCGCCCGGAGCAGCTGCCCAACAGCAGCAGCTGCCCCCCCTCCCCGGGGCTCCCGCCGCGGAGCCCCCTCCTCTCTCTCACTGCCATCTCTGAAGCCACCGCCTCCCTGACACCGCCCCTGACGCCCTCAAGCCCTCCTACCCGTGAGCCAATCGCCACACGGTGAGGTCCGGCTCGTTGGAGTTTCCCGCCCGGCTAACCAATCAGCGATCGGTACTTCGCAAATTCCCGCCCACACGACACTAGATGGACAGTGCCATCTCCGAATGGGAGTGCTGATGCTGCTTGCCCCCTCCTCCACGCTCGCCAACCACTAGACAGATGGTCCCGGATATAATTTGATAAACAGTCAGTGTCACCAATTAGGATGAATCTGATGTCCGGCTCCTGAAGCGGAATTCCTCCACCTCCTCTTAACGGTCCAGGACTACATTACCCACAATGCAGCGGGAGCAGAAAAAAAAGCAACGAGATATAAATAAACTACATTTCCCAGTATCCCAAGGTCGGAATTTATTTTTTTTCTTTTTTTTAACTTCCCCAGGGACTTGGCTCCTAGCCAGAACTCGGGGTTTTGGTAAACACGCGCATCTGTTGAGGCCTGTCCTGTTTTCCAACTAATATTCCTAGTCCATAGAGAGGCCTAAATATGACCATAGGTTAAATCTTGATCCTAGGATGACCTCTGACCCCTGGCTGAGTGCTCATCGTTGGACTGAGCCTCCTTTTCCAAAGTGAGGCGATCGGAGGCTCATCGCTAGATCTCAAGTTGGACCTGATTGTGGGCTGAGCCCTTGAACCCCCTACCTGCAGCCGAGCCCTGATGTCAGCCTGAAACTGCGACCTTCCTCCACTTCGGACGCTGGACTGATCCCCGTCTCTGCCCAGCAGACTCTCACACTGAGCCGTAATCACTGGCTGAGCACTACCCGCCCCAACCCCCAATCTGGACTAGTCCTGACTCCAGCTCAGGCCTGACCCCCTACCGGGTTGAGGACCCTTCTGACAAGCCTCCGATTTGTCTGAAACCCCCATCCCAATCACGGTGCGGACCCGAGCGGAGCACCAAGTCCCGTTTGAACTGTGATCAGAGTTTGAATCTGTGACCCGAGTGGAGCCTAGAGCTTTGCTGGGCTCTGCTCCAATCCGGGACTGAGCCACTGAACCCTCTGGAGGACAGCCCACTTTGCAACGGGAGGTTTTCTAGCCTAGAAGCCACCAGCAGGTGGGGCCAGGTCCCCGCAGAGCCATCTGTCTCAGCGTGGGCTCCCTGTGAATCCCCAGAATCTCCTGGACTCCCCAGAATCTTGCTGCCTGGGGAGCTCAGTGTAAAAGGAAGCTGTTCTCAGGGGGCCAGAAGTCCCCACTCCCCAGCCCAAGAGGGCGCAGGTCACCTCAGTGGCTACAGAAAGAGCCAAAGGCCGAAGAGAAAGGGGAGAGCATCCAGTGGTGCCGCTCCCCTTTCATCCCAGCGCCTCAAAGGGATTTACAAGGTGCGAACAGACTTTTATGGAGGAGGTGACAGACTTCTAAGCCCCAGGGCCCGAGCGCCTGGGGGAGGGGCGGAATTGGACTCCTAGACTGATAATTAAACCTGATTGGCCTTAATGGATGTGACCGAAAAATGGGCAGGTGCAAGCGCGAACTGGACAGGGAGCCTGGAGGGAAGGCCTGGGCTCGGCGCCCCAAGGACGGCCCGTCCTCAGTTTCCCAGAGGAGATTCTGGCGGAGGGAAGGCAGGATGCGGTAGGGGCGCTAATGGACCCGGCCTTGGCGAAGGCGAGTCCTGGGCAGGATCGAAGTCCTCGCATCCACCTTGTGGCCGGAGGGACCAGACCATTAGTGGGACGAACGTAGGCGCCTGGAGCCGGGCCGACCCGCAAGAGCGGTGTGACCTCAGGTTCTCCCAGCGACGGGGTGGGGGGAAGAACTTCTTGGGTTTAGAGTTTTAGTGTCTTGGCCTTCTAAGGAACGGTTGGGGGGAAAGAGAAAGGAATAACCGTCTGGGGCGGAGAGAAGGGTGGGAGGATGCGAGGGGCCCCTGGGATTTGGAAGACGGGTGGGGATCCTTTAAGGGGTCTGGCCAGTGGCGTCAGGTGGCCACGTTCCTCTGGGAGGGGCGGAGCGTTTGCTGGGCCACGCCTCTTTAGGGCCCCGCCCCTGACTCCCGTCGCAGGCGGGGGCGTGGCAGAGCGCCCGGGGGGCGTGACTCAGCCTGGAGTGGGCGTGGCCTGGGCGGGACGGGGCGGTGGCTGAGCCTCCCCCCGGAGG